AATTCAGACATGCATCTGATGAAGTGGGTCTTTGCCCACGAAAGCTCATGCTCCAACACTTCGGTTTAGTCTATAAGGTGCCACAGGACTCCTCACTGCTTTTATAGAATTCTGAAAATACCATTCTGCTTGATTCTTATGTAGCTAAATAACTTATTTAGGTTACATATTTTTTTTCATTGCATGCCTAAATGTGATGCCTTGTTCACTAATCAAAGGAATATCCTGGGCACATATTGGCATGAATAATCTTGTTTAATAGAATGCATTAGATGTAAAGTACTACAACAAAACCAAGACATAGTGAAGTAAATCACTTGTTAAGCTATAAGTAACATACTTTTTAGTATTCATAGGCAAAGATGCCCCTCCCGTACTTCACAAAAATGTTAATTGATATAGAAATAGTAACTCTTACAGAATCTCATGCCGTTGGGCAGCCATACCATATCAGTTTGCAGCACAGAATTGTGGCTTCTTACTGGTCAGTGCATTTTAAAAATGTTTAGGGAGTTGTATTTCTGGCTGATATAAAATCATTGGACTGTTGCATCTGTCTTCACTAAACTGTGAGAACATACTGTTGTGCAGTATTGGTTTTAGTTTTCTGCATTGTGTTCTGTTAAAAGAGAAGTCTGGCAAAAGGTACAAGTAAGAATGAATATTTATAGTCTGATTATTGTGACTTTTTTGTTTTCTTTTCCTCTCTTGCTAACTAACTTATTTGATGTGATTATTTTTTACTTTTGTCAGTCCTCATTTTTGTTGATTAATGCCTTAGTAGTTCATATATGATATTGATGCTCTCTTTGTGCAACATTATAGGAGGGGGTTGTATTTATTAATGTCACTTTAGATTTAGTTATTGGTCTTGCCACTCTGTCTTAGAGTATTTTTTTTCATATATTGCTAACCCCACACAAATGGGTAAGCAGATATTTTTATTTTCAGTTCCCTTCATCATGAGAAGGGGATGTGGCGAGTCTCGATCCTTACCAGGTAACAGAAACATGCCTTCAGGTGCTTTCCATAGTTTACTCTAAAACTTGGTAGTATTGAATTACTGCTTGAGTGACCCCTTTGGTATCTATAGCGTTATAACTTTCTTATATGTTTTTGGGAAGGATTTCTAACTGCCATTTTGAAACATTAATGTTGCATTGAATCTTAGTATTTGAGTTTTTGGTTTAAAATGAATTTTTGTAAATTATTGTCATTTAATCAGTTGAAATCTAAAATGACCAAAATAATTTCACATTCTTATAGTATTTTTTGATATTTTGATGTTGAACAAAAATTCTGTACTTGTCCAATTACATTTTTATCTTCATGCACTTTATTTACACAGTTGTTTTGAAACTGATTTCATTACTCCTCAGTTATAGTAATACCCTCTGGCCCCAACTAAGTTTTGACTCCATTGTGGCTTATATTGTAGGATGACAGAAGCAGGGATGATCCCGGATCTGTAGGGAGTAATTCTTATCTGAAAGTATTTGTTGGGTGAGGAGGATAAAGTTCTCACTCCAAATAAGGTAGTTATATTTAATTAGCAACCTCACAGCTTTGTTAGCGTATTCTTCTTTATAACAACTAATTTTACCTCCATTTAAGAACCCTCTGACATTGAACAGATACTTTATTTTGTCACTAGAAGATTTAACCAAGCATTGTGTGGGTCCTTAATTTAAATGTTTTGTTTTTCTTATTTTAAATCCTTGTTTGGGGTGGGGCTGGAATGAGGGATTGAGTATGCAGGCTGCCCCAGGGAGAGGCGCGAAAGCCACCCCCTCTCTCTGCAACAGCTTGAGGCCTGGTGAGAAGCACCTATGGATGGCTGCTGCACTGTTGGGGGTGGAGTGCAGCTCCCCCAATTGGGGGAAAGACAGACAAATACTCTACTGTATTTCAGATAGCTGTCCCTTTCTCTACCCCTGCTGGCCAAGTGGGGTAATAGATGTCGTGGCCCCAACTCCGGCCCTTTGCTGTCTCCCTGTGATCATTCTGCAGTATAACAGTCCCTCCTGCCAGACCCCTTCCTTTCCATTTTATGAGAAAAAATTGAATTCCAGACACATCCCATTTTCCTGGCACAGGCAAACCCTTTTATCATAACTTATCTACTTTAAGTTATGATAAGAGGAAGCTGCATACCAAATATGGTGGTCCTATCTCTTGCAGTTTAGGAGGAGTTCTTGAACAAATAGACTCCCAGACAGGTGCGCATTTCTAAAATATATAGGAAAAAGAAATTCACTCTTATATGGCTTGAACCCATGTTTTTTAAAGTCAGCGACAAAGCTCCCATTTACTTTACTGGATTCAGGTCATAATTCAGATTCAGAAAATCTACACCGTCTTTCTGTGAAACTTGACAGCCTGTATTTATTTAAAAAAAAAAAAAAGACTAGTCTGGTAACTTTGTATGTGCTACAGTAAACCAGTTGTTCTAGTCTATGTAATTATATACAAACACATAAGAATATAAATGAGGAACACTGGCTACAGAAAGATACATATAATTTGAGATGGGAGTGCTTATGTATTTGGAATAGGTATGCACGTTTAAATTTTAACTTCAAAAGACACTTCAGATTAACCCCTTTAAAAAAAAAAAAATAGCTAGGTTAGCGAAAAAGTCCCTTAGGGCTCATCTGTTAACTTTCTTGTTTTTAAATTGTTGGGGGGTTTTTTTTTCCCGACAATTCTGAGAGGTTAATAATATGAAATATCCAAATACTATACCAACTACATATTATATTTATACTTTATATGCTCTTTTATATCCTTATGTATCTGCTAAGGGTATACTAGATTTCATTAGAGCAATGAGATATTGGTTGATTAAGGTGCTTGTCTCCGGTCAAAATATAACTTGAATTTTGTTGCCAACCTGTCTTTCAGGTACAGAGGCAAAGCTTATATGCTTTAGCACAGTAAACAAAATTTTAAGAGGAGATACCATGCTTGATCATAGTGCAGGCATTTGCTCAAGAAAAAATTACCCTTACACTTTGATTTTTGCCGGACTCCAATTTACCTCTG